TTCACAAGGATTTTGTCATTCCCCTGATGCTCTGCAGCGTGTTTCTTCGTCGTTCCAACCAAAATGTAGTTGTTTATTTGTTGTTATGGTCGCTTTTTGTGGCAGAGGATGAGCACCAGACAACTCTAGTTGGTCATCATACTCTGCACTCTTGAAACTTTCTAGTCAGGTATTTTATGGGATGTTCCTCAATTAGGATTTTGCTAATGATTGGACTTGGGCTGTGGGTTTTTTGGGAGAGGACCACAGAGGTGAAATGCCATTTTCACAGCATCATACTGGCGATGCATACTGTCAACATGCCTTATCATTGTTAATGATGACCCAACTATATTTTTACATCTCATTCTCATTTGAGATCCTGAGATGTTAATTCTTATCAAATAAAAAGCATAAGATAGCATCACCAAAGAAAAGAAATATGAACAATAAGAACAAATACAGGAATAACTGCTCAAATCAGACCAAATCAGAAACAGATTATTTCTATTTAGTCAATTTATATGCAATTGCTTGAAGATAGAAGTTATAAATAACTCTGAATTTGTCTTTCCTTACCACTATGGTCTGCTTTTGGAAAATATTTTAGTTCTACTATTCTACTTTCATTGATGCCATGACTATCAAGAGAAGCCTCTGACCTGAGGATACAGGGTGGGGGGATTGTTGCTACCAGCTTATTCAGGGTTGTGTAGGAAAGTATGAACTAGACTGTTTCCACATATAAGTATATCTAAACTACATGTGAATTCCTTCAGTAGGACAATGCCCTGTATTGTCTGAAAGAACTGCTTCAAACACCCTCTGCTTAAAGACAACAAACACATTAACAAATATTTCATCTAGTGCCAAATGCTTTGCACTGTAAGCTACAAGAGAGTGCACTGCAAAGTCCCCAAAGATACCCAAAACAACCTTCCCTAAAGCAATATCCTGACTCAGTTCTTCCCAGATATTAATCTTTAAATGACATTAGGTACACAAAATCTCTCTATGTTTTGTCCACTGTCACCCATGGCATTCTCTAATACATGACAAGGAAAGCAAAAGCACAAAAACTAAAGAATAATGATATTCGGTTACTCTAAATTCTGCTCAAGGAATACATTCAACCTCTGTGACATTTTCTTCGTTGATCCCTACGCTTTTGTCTTGATACAGCATAATGCCTAAATTTTAAAAATAAATGAAATGAAAAAAAGAACACAGTATTGTATTTAAATAAGTTTCAGCTGTAAGCACCTCTCCTCTCTCCCTTCTCCCACAGAAAGTTTCAAAAGTTTAAACAGTAAAAATATGGCTAGAATATAATAGTAAATGCCGTTTTAACCTTTAATCTTTGGATGGAAGTATGGAAAAAGTTGTAACTCTTGCCTAAAAATATATAAAACTACATGTTTTACCAAGAAAAAATTCATTAGTCTTTTGAAATATGTAAAAACACATAAGTCCTTTGAGAACTTTGTCTCTAAAATTACTGTACTTACATTGTTTAGTTTATATAGATCTAAATATTAAAGCTATCTCTATTTTATCAGCAAACACTGTTGCAGGAAGTACACCACAAATGTTGATTCTAACTGTATTAGTATGACAATGATGAGGTCCTAGGCAAGGAACCAAAGGCCAAACACCCACCCCCCACCCCCAGAAGCAGACAAGACAGCACACCCAGGGTCCCAGGCAAGGAGCCACGGGCTGCAGCCCCCTCTACCCAGAAGCAGGCAAGACTGCATGCCCAGGGTCCTAGGCAAGGAGCTGAAGGCCATAGCTCCCTCCACCCAGAAGCAGGCAAGAAAGCACACCTGGGGTCCTAGGCAAGGAGCCATGGGCCGCAGCCCTCTCTGCCCCAAATCAGGCACAACAGCATGCCTGGGGTCCTACGCAAGGAGCAGAGGGTAGTACCCTGCACCCATGCTGAAAACACCACTCCACGTGGGTGGCCCACCACAGCCACCACCACAGCCATGACTGCTGCAAAAGCAGCTTGACACCACAGCAGCAGCCACATCCACTATGCAGATGGCCCACCCGACGCTAAACTGCATTGACACAAGGAAAGTCACCAGTGGAGACTAGAAAAAGAAGATGATATCTCTCCCCTTCAAGCCCACTCCAGAGTAATTAGAAGAAGCAACTGCTCTACCAGATGACTAGACATCAACGTAGAGATACTAGAAATATTAAAACCCGAGAAAATATGACATCAATGAAAGAATACAGTACTTCTCAAATACCAGATCCTATAGAACAGGAAACCCTTGAAATAACTGAAAATGAATTATGAGTAACAATCTTATGGAGACTCACTGAGATACGAGAAGACTCAGACAACATAATGAAACAAGAAAAAAAATCTAGAATTTGAAGGAGAAAATCTACAAAGAGATTAACACCTTAAAAAAGAATGTATCAGAACTCATGGAACTGAAAGATTCACTCAGCAAAATAAAAAACACAACCTAGAGCTTAAGCAGCAGGCTAGCACAAGCAGAAAAAAGAATCCCTGATCTTGAAGATAGTCTTTTCAAGATAACCCAGGTGGACAAAAAAAAGGAAAAAAGAATTTTAAAAAATGAAGAAAATCGGGGCCGGCCCGGTGGCGCACGGGATAGTGCGCCGCTTGGGAAGCGCGGCGGCGCTCCCGCCCGAGGGTTCGGATCCCACATACAGACCGGTTCCCACTCACTGGCTGAGTGAGGCGCGGGGGCAACACCAAGGGTTGCGATCCCGTTGCCGGTCCCCGGTCCGGTACGGGTGCAACACTGGGGGTTGCGATCCGTTGCCGGACACGGAAAAAGACAAAAAAAAGACAAAAAAAAAAAATGAAGAAAATCTAAGAGAGCTAGCAGACAACTTTAAGCACACAAACATTCAAATCATAGGCGTTCCAGAAAAGGGAGGAAAAAGGAAAAGGCATGGAAAACCATTTCGATGAAACAACAGAAAACTTCCCAGGTATAGGGACAGACACGGAGGCTTCAGATCCAGGAAGCTCAAAAATCCCCAAACAGATTCAACCCAAGAAGATCCTCTCCAAGACACATTATAGTCAAACTGGCAAAGCTTAAAGGCAGAGAATCTTAGAAGAAGCAAGAGAAAAGTGTCAAGTCACCTATAAGGGAGCCTCCATCAGACTAACAGCAGACTTCTCAACAGAAACTCTACGGGCCAGGAGAAAATGGGATGACATATTTAAATTTCTAAAAGAAAAAAACTTATAGCCAAGAATCCTATATCCAGCAAGGTTGTTCTTCAGAAATAAGGGAAAAGTAGTGTATTTTCCAGACAAACAAAAGCTGTGGAAGTTCACCACCACACAACCAGCCCTACAAGAAATCTTCAAGGGAATCCTGCATCTGGAATCTGTAAAACAATAATCACTACCACAAATACACAAGAAATAACAAAACGCACTGGTAGAACAAAAATGAAACAAGAAAGAGAAAGAAAGTAAATCTTACCACCACAAAAAGCTATAGTGACAATTTAATGATGCCCCTACTTTATTTCTGGTTTTAGTAATTTCAATCTTCTCTCTTCTTTCTTGGTCAGTCTAGATAAAGGTTTGCAAATTTTGTTGATCTTCTTAAAGAATCAACTTTTGGTTTTGTTGATTTTCTCTATTGTTTTTTAATTCCCCATTCCATATCTTTCTGTTATAATCTTTGTTATTTCCTACTTATATTTTGGCTTTGTTATTTCCTACTTAGCTTTTGGCTTAGTTTGCTCTACTCTCTATTTTCTAAGGTAGAAGTTTACATCATTTATTTGAGATTTTTCTTATTTCTAATATAGGTGTTTACAAGCATACATACTGCATGAGCCCTTCATCCTATTAAAAGAAAAAGTTTTAACACATATTAACATCTAGTCCTCCCCAAAGGGAAGTTGCTATAATGGGAAAAGCTGCATTTGGGATTAATACTAATTCTCTGTCAAAACCTGAAGCTACCATTTTCTACCTAAACAAACTTGATGAAATGAACTTTTCTTAACATATAACATGCTCAGATTTGTTTGTTTGTTTGCTCTGGTTTTGTTTTTGTTTTGGGGGAAGAAATTAGGAAGCCGACCAATATTTAGAGTGATAAAAGTTCTATGATTAATTATAGAAAGCAAATGAAAGCCAGACTAACATAAACTGCAAATATAGGACATGATCCTCTGTATATAAAAGAAAAGCTGAATTTGAAGTTTAGCAAAGAGAGCTGCATTCCTTGGCTCTTAGAGGTTAAAAATAAATGTGTCGAGGACTGGCCAGTTAGCTCAGTTGGTTAGAGCATGGTGCTGATAACACCAACATCCAGAGTCCAATCCTGTATCAGTCGCCACCAAAAAAAAGTGTGTGAGTTAAAAAATAAACTGAGTCAATGTCAAATGTTTCTAATCACTTCAATGGAGATGAACAATAAATAACAGCGTCTCTTCTAACTGTTATCTCAAAAGTACCCCTTATTTTAGTTGAAAAAGGAAACAATTATTAGTACTTTTCCTATTTATTCCAGAGTTAACCTCTTTCCAATAATGACTAAGGTAAAAGAGGAAAAAAATTCTTCCTTTTCTTGACACATGTATGTTATATGTAAATTACAGTAGCATGTTTTTCTACTCAAAATTGTCATCTTATTAATCATGTAGATAGACTGGTACCAACCCAAGTCCATGTACTATACTAATTCCCTGCAGATCCAATAAAATACAGAAGAGGAAGAAGAATGTCAATTCAAACACTGTGGCTATTTACAGGGCACTTTTCAGAAATAGCATGAAAAATACTATTGAAAGATACTAATAGCTTTTCCTTTCAAATCTTAAAAACTGAATATGCAGAGCAGTTTTAACAATCTACCTATTGCAATACCAGTTCCAATTACTAATCACAAAGATATAAACAGAGAAATGAGAAAGAAACTTTGACAGCATTTAGGTAGAACTCAGTGGTAGGAATGAGGATGTATGTCAGAGTGGGCCACAAAACTCAGACACATGCACCGTACCTTCTTCTGAAGAACATTAACCTTGCGCTCCTTCACATCCAGCATGTCCTTGAGGTCATGTATTTCTCCAGCTTGTGTCCCCTTCTCCTCAGCCATATCCTGGATTTGTTTCGTCTTTTTGTTCAACATGGTTTCCTTCTCTTCCAAACGCAACCGGAGAGCATCCACCTAAGAACATAAGATTTGTGTAAATGATTAATTGAAAAGAAAGGAATGTAATTCCTTTCAAGTAGATGTGTTATAAAGAGGTTGAGTTTTGCCACTTGAATAAAAGTAGTATAATCTACAACTATGTTTCTCAAACTTTATGTGCATCAGAATCACCTGGAAGGTTAAAACAAACTGTCAGGCCCAGCCACCAGAGTTTCTGATTCAGCAGAGTTAGGGCACAGAATTAGTATTTCTAACAAGTTCCCAAGTGATGCTACACTGCTTTAGAAAATCTAAAATTAGAAAGAAAACCAAAAGCATCACCAAGTATAACACTTGTGTCAGATAATACAATCTAGCCATAGGCTATGATGCTTTTAGGACAACCCCATAATACACTTAGATACCCATACAAGGCAAAAGCAATGGTCTGCTTTCAGATGCCAAGGCCAATCAGCTAGTCTGGTATCTAGTTACCTTTATCCTTGAAGTTTAACAATTTTCATTACATATAACTTTAAAATAACAACAAACTGAATAACAGTATTTATTTAAAAACTCATTCACAGGGCCGGCCCGGTGGCGCACTGGATAGTGCGCCGCTTGGGAAGCGCGGCGGCGCTCCCGCCCGAGGGTTCGGATCCCACATACAGACCGGTTCCCGCTCACTGGCTGAGCGAGGCGCGGGGGCAACACCGAGGTTTGCGATCCCGTTGGCGGTCCCCGGTCCGGTGCGGGGGCAACACTGAGGGTTGCGATCCGTTGCCGGACACGGAAAAAGACAAAAGACAAAAAAAAAAAAAAAAAAAAAACTCATTCACAGCAAATTTCACTAAGCTTTTAGCACCCCATGCACATTCACACACCAAAATTTTTTTTTCCTTTTCCATCAGGGATTAATAATTGAATAAATAGTTACACATTTGATTATAGTACAACAGAGAGGTGGATTTCTTTCATCTACAACAATGCTGTTCAACAAAAATATAAGGTGAGTCATGTCTGCAAGCCACATATGGAACTTTCCAGCAGCCACATTAAAAAGTAAAAAATAAACAGGTAAAATTAATTTTAGTAGCATATTTTATTTAATGTAATATAGCTACAATATTATCACTTCAAACATGTAATCCACAGAAACACCATTAATGACCTATTTCCTACTAAGTTTTCGAAGTTCAATGTATATTTCATATTGACATCACATCTCAATTTTGGCTAGCCACATTCTAAGAGCTTAATAGCCACAAATGGTTGGTGGCTACCACACTGGACAGCACAAATCTAAGAAATCAAGTATGTGTCTATAAAACACCTCTTATCTTTAACTTGTCTTATATTATTTTTCATGTCTGTGGATTTGCACACAAAGGAAAAATACATGGTATGGGAAATGACTCATTTACAGTACATCAAAATCCTCATGAAAGAGCTGACATTGTACAAGCTGAGAAGCAGTACTAGGTGTATGGTGGTACTAACTGCTTAATAAGTATTATGGAGACTACTACAGCTAAATTATTACTTCTGAATTATACTGGAAAGGAAAAACATGTAGACAAACCATATTTCACTCTGCTAAACAACATTTCTACCAACCACTTCTGTGCCACCAGTCCTACCAAGCCAGAAATTGAGGAAGCAATCTTTTTACGTCCCATTTATACTTCACCATGAGGCCTACAATGCCCCGCCAACCCAACAAATACTCTTTCACTTCTAATTTACCTCTATTCTACTTTAATAAATGATATATAGTTAACCTTATTATAGTCTGGAAAGATCCACCTAAAAACTTTCAGCCTTTCTGAATCTGAAACACTATTTATTCTTTTCTTCCTCCTACACCTACTAAATCTACTCTTTTTGCCCATAGCACAACCTTTGATCTATCACCACTACCTTCTTCATCATTTATCTCTATTCTGGTTTCACTTGGTTTTCCCCCAGCCTAAGCAATTATTTTAAACATGGCCTCACCTCATCTCCTTTAAAAAAAAAAAAAAAAATCATACCTGTTTACTTCTTTACTTTTGCATTAAACTGTTTGCTTCATTCTACCCCAGACTTCTGAAACTTTCTGCATGTGGTCATGTCTATGCTTGTCAATCATATACACAATACATTAAAAATCCTCATAATTCTATCCTCAGGAATGGTATCTTCTTCCCTTTGCATTCTTCCTGTGGAAAAATTTCACACTCTCCCATGGCAACTTGGGAAACTAGGACTTAAAGAAAGTAGCAGGCCCAAGACCTCACAGTTCCAACTTAAGTGACAGAGCAGGTATTTAAGATTAAGTAGTCTGTCTCCAGATCCTACACCCTTAACCATTAATTCTGTAACACACTCCTCCCCCACCATCCACAGCACGGCAGCAACGCCCTCCACCACCTGACGGTCCCTATCTACCACGACTGCCTTGTCTTTGCCATATACCTCTTCTCCCCATCTCCAGAGACTCTATTCTAGCACCACAGCCATTTTCTAAATATACCATGCTTTCTCATATTCCTTGTTCACATTTTGTCCTTTACTTGTAATATCCTTAACTCCTTCCACTTAAAAAATTTTGCCTACTGGACACATCTTTCAAAGCCCTCTTCCTACTCTACCAATTTAATAAATATTTTCCAAACCCCCAATAGATAACTACTATCTCCTTCCTCTATTCTCATAGTGCTTTATTATAGAACTTACCATTTTTTCTTATCATATATCTATATTATCATATTTGTGTATTTCTTAAGGAAAAAACCATATTCTGCTCACATTTTTATCCTGAGTAATTTCATCTCAATTAAAACTAAAAACATTTAACACTGCAAATTAAAGTAGCTAATATCCCTTTTTTAAAGATGATAAAACTGGGACTCAGTGTAAATAATTTATACCCTATTACAGAACTAGCAAGTAAAAGGACTGGAATTCAAAGGCTAGATATGACTCCAAAGATTTTGATCTTTTATCATGCTAAAGAATACCAACATAAAAGAAACAGAGGTGATACATAAGAAGAGAGAGCTTTCCTCTGAACAATATGTCAAAAGAGTCAGGAAGGTTTCTGAAAGAAGTAATATCTGAATTGTTTCTTGAATGATGAATAGGACATCACTAGATACAAAAGGGAAGGGAGAGAAAGGCACAGAAATTCTAGGAAGAGGAAATAGAATATTTTAAAAATACAGAAACACGAAACAGCATGTTATGATTGTAAGTTAATTTGGTATTGCTTATTATATAGTAAAAGAAGAAAGGCAAGAGATAAGCCTGAAAAGATAGTAGATCATAAAGACCTTGACTGTCAAAATAAGGTGCTTGAATTTTACCCTTCTTGCAAACGGAAGTCAGTGAAGGTTTTTAAGCAGGGGAAAGTCATAGTCGTATTTGTTTCAGAAAGATTACATTGGGCTGGTCAATGGGGACACAAAGATACCATCTTTTGCAGAAGTTACAATTTAATGGAGAAGGTAGTTGCATAAACAGATCACATAAATATATTACAGGAAGTGCTGAAACAGAGGTAGAGAGTGTTTTCTTACAGTATAGAAAAGAAGCACATAACTCAACCAATTCAGACATTACTTCTTTCAGAAACCTTTCCTGACTCTTTTGACATATTGTCCCCAACAGTAAGAAGCTTGAACGAAGTAGGAAAGGATGAGAAGTTGGCTGGCAAGGAAGATACGGAAGAACGCTTTGAGCAGAGATACCACAAATAATGAAGATTAGAAAGGATGTTAACTTCTCAGACAGCTATAAATGGAGAATTCCTATAGTACAGACCAGGTGGGAAGTTATGTGAGGTGAGGACAAGGTCCTAGTCATGGAAAGTTATTAGTGTCATGTCTAGGAGCTTGAATTTTGTTGACTGGATATAAGATAAAAGAGGAATAGTCAAAGGTGAGTTCCCAGGTTTTTGATAAAGACTGGATGAATTTTAGCTTTTGAAATGGAGCAAGAACCTCATTTTTGATGTGTTATTTCTGACATGAAATGTAACTTAAAAGCCTCCCTGATAATACCTGAAATACCTCATAATGACCTGAAAATACCTGATAATAAAATTCCTGACAGTGACCTGAAAAGATACCATTTGGTAGGATAGAAATCCTGAAAAAACACAACTATTTTAGTTTCTTAGGGCTGCCACACAAAGTACCACAAACTGAGCAACTTAAACATACAGAAATATTTCCTCTCACAGTTCTGGAGGATAGAGTCTGAAACGAAAGGTGTCAGCAGGGCTGTGCACCCTCTGCGGGCTCTACAGAAGAGTCCTTCCCTGCCTCTTCCTACCTTCTGGTGGCTCCTGGGAATCTTTGGCTTGTAGATGTATCATTCCAATCTCTGCCTCCATCTTCACGTCAACTTCTTCCCTGTGTCTTTGTGTGTCTTCTCCTCTTCTATGAGGACTCCAGTCATTGGATTTAGAGTCCACCCAATCCAGTATGATCTCATTTCGATTAATTACATCTGAATGTTCTCAATGTTCCCTTACAGCACCCATTCTCAAACTCTTTGGTCTCAGGAATCACTGACACTCTTAAAAATTATTGTGAGCCCTGAAGAGTTTTTGTTTATGTGAGTTACATCTATCAATATTCATTATATTCAAAATTAGAACTAAGCAGTTTTTAAAATATTTATTAATTTAAAATAAGTCCATTATGTTAATGAAAATAACATTTTTATTTTTAAAAAAGCTATATTTTCCCCAAATAGTAAGAACAATGTGGTTGTTTTAAATTTGCAAATCTTCTTAATATCTGGCTTACAAGTTGCGGGGAGGTGGTTAAACTCAGACTAATGAAGTTTTGGTACCACCTAACAAAGCTTAAAAGATCCAAAATTTACCAAATTATACATTTTATATATGTGCAGTTTATGTCAATAAAGCTGTTTTTTAAGAAACACAAAATTAGAAAGCATGATACTGATATAGGAATAAAGCAATAGACCACTGCAACAAAAATGGGAGCCCAGGTACAGACCCACACACATGGCTGCTGCTACG